CGCGCCGCAAATTCGTGGATCGACGGTTACTGCTATAATTGGCCACTCTAGCTCCTCTCGTGTGTACATATATATATTTATATTTCTTCTCAATATATTCATATATATTTATATTTATTTATTTATTTATTTCACATAATCGTTATTTCTTCGCGCGTTCTACTTCGTTTCTTTTTATTTATTTATTTATTTAGAGAAGTACGTGGAGTTGTCGCGATCCCCCGCGGGCGGTCGCGGGGGATGAACGAATCTGGAACGAGTTCGCAAAAACGAGAGATGAAACTTCACGGAAGTTAGAGAATGAATTTTTTTTTTTCTAATATAATCGCGTAAGACGGGGTCGGGCCTCGAGTCGAGTTTTTGGGGTCTCCGCCCATGCGACATGTATATCGCGGCTACCTGGCCCGCTCATTAATTTGACACGTGATATTTAAAAAATAGTCGATTCTTCTTGAACGCACTGTTGCCGGATCCAACAGCGGATAATGCGGTTAAAGATCAAGAGTGTGAGGGCAGTGTGAAGGGCAGTGGGAGGAGCAAGTGTGAGGGGGTTGGCTGGCCAAGGGAAAACGATGAGTGTTTAGATGTGCACGAATGTCGAAGCACTCCTATTTCGCTTATCTAGAGAAAGCAGAAGCCCTCGGAAGATTAACGGAAATCACCCTCAAATATATATATTCTCGCGAAATTATCACCACTGCTGAAAGACGGTAGCTGTCTCATTGTTACAGTTACAATAACTGGATAGAATTATTCAATATAGCCGGGGATTGTATTATTATTGAATTTAAACACGATTTTAAAGCGATTGCTTCTAAGAAATCGATTTAATATAGTCACAGCAAATTATTCGAGATTAATTAATTAATTAATTAATAGATTTTAAAATTTTCGCTATTTTCATATATGAGTGCTTTCTAAAGATGAAGTTAAAACAAAGCGAAATAGAATCGTGTCGGTTACGCTTAGATAAGCGAGGGAGGAATGCGGCTCGACGATCGAGCCCGTTCGCGCGGCCGTCTGCCAGAGAAACGCAATGATGAGCAACGCGCGGGGATAGGTATTCACGGCGCGATTTTAGTGAGTTCCGTTTTCGCGTGTCGTTTCGCGCGTGCAAACGAGGACCTGAAATGTACAAAAAGGATCGCCCTTGCGACCTCGTTGGCACGTGCGAGCGCGCGTGCCTCCGACAGGAGGAGCTCGTCTTGGACCGCGGTTTAAAATTGCCCAGGCAACATGACACCGTAAAAGAAGCCGTAAAGACGGCCTAATTTTTCACACATCGTTTGACTATCTCTCGGAAGTCTTTCACGATTTTGCGTTGTTGGGTGTTATAAATCTAAACACTCGCTCGAGTTAAAAATACATTACGAAGCTTCCCTAAATCTCTCTCTCTCTCTCTCGCTCTCTCTCTCGCTCTATATATATATATATACTTTTTTATACACTCAGCATATAGATAACATTTTTTATTCTTCATCTATTCAGACAGCAATGTCGTTGTGCCACTAACTATCCATAAACGGCACCGTCTCTAAAGCCGCGTTGCAAAATATCAATGGCGAGTACGAACGTTCGTGGAGACGCGAACAAACAATACGTGCGACAAATCGACAGATTCGGAATCTTCATGGAGTTTGGAAGATGAAGGGAAATGTGAGGAATGGGAGAAGGAGGAGGATCGATGGGATGATAATGAGAGGAATTTTCGACGTTAAAGATGGTTCGATGCACGTATATGGGTTTTTGTGCGCAGGCGATCGGCGCACACACACATACTCACATACATACATACACACACATACACATATACACGGGCGAAACGATCGTTACTTGACGGGCAGTAATTTTGGAGATACACATACTTAGTATTTTCAATAAGGAAACATAGTTAACGTCCGTTACGTTCATATCCAGCAAGCACAAATATGCGATATTGTATACGTATTATTTTTACCGATAATGAGTTTATCCCTCTTGCAAATTTCCTCCGTTTCCGGTTTATACGCAGACATCGGCTCGCACGCCCGGCTCGCATTTCCCTCCGCGATCATCTCCGAGAGTCATCGAAGGATACCCACCGTCGATCCCGAGCGACTATTTTCCCACACACTCGCGCGCACGACAATGCGATATTAGATCACCGATCGGTGACGATCGGGAACGCTTACGCTACGGATAGGACACATCCACATGTTAAAAATACGTTTAGTCTCGCTATTGGTATTCGACGACCTCATGCACGCTCATCCTCGCTCGATCACCTCTCACTCCGCCTCTCTTTCACTCTCTTCATTCTCTCGCCATACAAGAAAAGCACCACTTTATAATACAAATTCGTCTCGTCCTTAATTGTCTAAAGCCGCGAACGGAATTCAAGCTCGAGACCGCACGATCGAGTCCGCACGATCGTTGGCTCCTAGTCCTTCAAGGATACGTGAGGATCGTCTCTCCTCCGATTCCTCTTCCTCAATCCTCTGTCACTTCTCGCCAAGGCCATTCATGGTTGAGATTTATTTTCGCGCTCGCCGCCGTTTTCTGCATCGTATTCGTCATCGTGCGAATACCGTACTTGCATCACACCCGCCGTTGCTTTTTTTCTAAGTACGACGTTAAAATATCGTGGGCAGCGCACACACGTGGCTCGTCAACGTCGTTGTCAACGTCGTCGTCAACAGCATCGCTCCTCCCGATTCTCACTATCCTCGCATTTATCCTACGCCGAAGAAGGCTGCTATGTCAATGTAAAGCTATGTATTGACTAGTTTCTCTCACTCTCTCTCTTTTTCGTCATTCTCAACTATGAATGGCCTCTTCTTCTCTCTTCTTTCTCCTCACTCTTCGCGTTATAACTATAATTACCTTGTATCGATGCGGTGTACCGTGCACGATTTGCACGCGCGGCACCACGGTCTATCATTTACTTTAGGCCTCGAGCGCAAGCTCCACGAGCTTGCCGGCCTTGCCTCGTACGAACGTAATCAGTAACTTCACATTCTGGAATTTAATTCAAACCTGTAAGCTGATTATTAGCTGCGTTCACGTCACGTCGGACTCCTAAAGGAAATTTCACAATGTTCCTCCTCTTTCCCTTCCAGGCTCGCATGGTCTGAAATCCGGCACACTCTCGATTCTCATTCTCTCCTCTCCCGACGTCGCTTATAAGGCTTTCGCGGATTTGCCAATCGCGGATCGGTCGCGCAGCTGGTCCGTGGAGCGAATACTCGGTGAAACCCGCGTTCCTCCGCGTGCGCTTAACGCTCTTACACCCTACGTACCCTATACACCCCTTGTGGTATATATATTTATTATATATAATATAACGTTATAGTGTTTTTGGCATCTTTGAAATACACAAATAGACTTTGGTATAAAACTTTTTGATAGTTTTCAGTACGTTTATATATATGCGCGTGCATATATATACGGACGCTGCGCTACAGCGTGCTACAGCGGCATTTTTTTACCTCCTTCCGTCGACTTTCACGTTTCCGGTTTTTCTTTTTACCTCTTTACCTGTCGGTGTCGCTCACTCGAAAGTCCCGCGGCTTCGATACTGGACAATGTCCCCGTGTGAGGGGACGATACGACTGACTCTCAAATTGCTCTAGCACATTTTATCTAACCACCAGAGCTTACAGGACGGCGCGCCTCTCCTCCTGCGTCGTTTCTTGCTCGACTGATCGACGGCCTTCTTCACGAACCTAATGTTGTAAGGGTCCTCCGCGAGCTCGGGATACTGTTGCGCGTCGTGTATGTACTCGCCCTCGTAATTAGATGCGAGGCCGACTTTCAGTATCTCATCCTGTTCGGCAACCATCCACTCGACGGATGTGGGAGTGTTCGTTTTAAGGGCTTCACGTTCCCGATGCCATGCCTTCCTGATAGCGGTCGCCTTAGCGTGATGCAGTAGTCTCTGCTTTTCTTTCTCTGCCGTGGTACCGTAACGCAAGTTCACCACATAGCTGGCACCGTGTATCTTCACATCGATTAACGAACTACTACCACTACCATTCTCGTTCTCATGGAACGTGGTGTTTACTTGACCTCCTAATCGTTTCAGCTGACCACGATCCTCGCTGGCACGCCAGGTTTCCTCTTTGACGAAGTAGAAGGCGTCCTGCTGTGCGCTGTGCACGACGAACGTAAATGGCAGGAAGTACGAGCGGTTGAACACGGATGTAAACACGTCGCCATAAATAGCGTTAGCGCTGGGTACGCTGGACACCACCGCCTGGCCATCAGCAGTTCTCGATACCAGGATACCTTTACCGAACGGCGGATCGGACGCCGCACCTAGACGACTTGGTATCAGCTCGCTCGTATCCTTCTTCAAGGCAGATCGTGGTGGTGCAGACAGGCTCACCGCGTCGCCTGAATGCCGTTGGGCGATGTGCGCGAGGAAACCAGATTGAACGCCCAGATTGCGTGTTCTTTTCTTTTTACCGAATATAGAAGTTCCTGGACCAAGCGCTCGCGGAACGAGGCTTTCCGGTAACTCATCCGGGAATAGCTGCGGTGCTAAACTCTTCAGGTCGTATCCGAGATGCGACAGCCATGATATGTGATCTGCAAGATAAAAATACGCCGAATGTATATTGATTCAAATCGGATAGAATGTAAATTAATTCATCGATGATATTGTAGAACTTACCAGTTGGTTGACTTGGTCTGTCCGTGTGTCTGACGTCAATTGGATCGTTACCGTTAAATCTATAAAGATGTAGGTGCGTTGGTTTGTCTACGCGATCCAAAACGTTTTCCCAGAGCGGTGACATCCACTGGCCTATTAGCGGGTCGTAAACCTTACCATTTGGCATGTGAACGAGGGAGGTGACCTATAAATAGATCATACCATTAAAATATGAAATATAGCAAAGAACGTTTGAAATATCATTGCGTTTAATTCCGAATGAAAATTTTATTATTCTATGTTATCAAATTTTTTTTTATTTTGTTAATTATTAAGTGGAATTAAATTCTTATTTACCTGATCTAGAAGTCCTCCGCAGAAGTCCACCGGTAAGTAAAGATATGGATTCGAATCGTAAACGATGTGGCCATAAGGCGATCGCATAATTTCTCTGATGCCTTCGCCGTACTGATTAAAGATCATAATGGGTGTTCCACACTGATCAGTGGCAATGTAATATTTGTGCCGGTATACTTGTGCGTAAATAAGATGTCCTCTGTCATCGTAGACCAGCGACATCAGTTTACCATCGCGCGGGCTGTATATCTGGCTCACTTCGTGCGGTCGTTTCTGATTGTTGTAGAAGAACTGTGTGACATTGCCGTAATTATCTTTCCTTGTGGCTAGGCGATCCAGGTGATCGTAATAGTATCGCACGTCGAAACGACCACGTTTGGTGGCGCGCACAAGGAGACCCTTGGCGTTGTAATTGAATCTCTCCTCTCTCGCATTCTGTACTACCAGACCCCGGTTGTCGTACTTGTAGAGACCTTCGCCGAACTTGACTATTCGGTCCATGGCATTGTACTCCATTGGGATCGTGTTACCTCGATATGTGAGCGACAACATATTACCGTTGGCGTCGTACTTGAAACCCCATGGTTCCTGCGCTTCTACACCGGTTAACTGACCGTCGCAGTCCCATGTGTAATTCTTTACGTTGGTGTACGTATTAACGGCGACGTTACGCGTGTACGTTCTCGTCTGATTGATGCGACCGCGTGAATCGTGCGTAAACTCCATTCTGAACACCTCCATTCGATGGATCGTCACTGTGACTTGAGTTTCTAGGAATCGGTCGTCTGTGGTGCGCGAGAACAATGCGGTACCGTCAAACACAGTCGTCTCGTTCGACTGCGGCCTCGTCACTTTAAACTGACCGATTTGCTCCAACGTACCCGACCTCGGACTGTAAGCCATGGTGTGTGGTGGCAGCGTCTGGCCGCCTATTCTACCCTGTACCGCGATCAGGCGGAAATTCGAATCATATTCGAACGTAAATTTGGCGTTGCTCAGACCAGTCTTGGCGCCGAAGTCTATTCGCTCCTCTACCAGAAGTCCTGCACTATATTGATAATCCCATTTGTACTCCACGTCCCTCTCGGAGTGTATAACTTCGGAAGGTAGTCCACTCTCCGTGTATCTGATCTCGCTTTTGCCGTCACCGTGAACGACCTCTGCTAATTGTCCCGATGTATGATATCTGTAGACGATTCGAGCTCCGTCTCCCGGAAATACAGTTTGCAGCAGGTTCCCTTCGTGACTGTAGTGCTGCAGATAGGCTCTAGTGCTGCCAGGTGGAGTGTATGTCACTCTAAGGAAACCAAGAGAAGCCTGACAGGAGAAGGAATGTTTGGTTTCAGACGGTAAAATGATATGTCGTAATCCACCATCATCATCATATTGCAATGAGAACTGTCTGTTGCTGGCAAGCGTGATCTTGGACAGCATGTTGAAGTCGTTGTAAGTATATCGTTTCGTGCCGTCCTTGCTATTGGTGATCTCTGCCAGTTGACCATGTCGGTCGTAGGCATATGATTCGTCGGAGGCACCCCATTTCCAACTGTCGATCCTGTTAAATCGATCGTAAGTAATGCTGAGATTATGACCCTGCTCGTACGGTTGCCAGATCAAGGGTAAACCGGCCAGGTCGAAGGTCACCGTCAATAGGGGAGTTCCCGCCTTATCATAAAATGTCTCACGGCTGAATGCTTGCTCGAATTCGACGCTTATCACTCGCGTGTCGTTCACCCAGATCTCTCTGTTAAGCGTTTGCTGAGGGTGGCTAACTTCTCCGACCAAATTGTACGTCGTCGTCATGGTATTTGTTAATTCGCCCAATGACATCAATTGATAGCTCCACATAGGTAGCATTTCTGCTTCTACCGGCAAAGCCGGCTTTAATAGCGGATGTTTTGTTGTCGCCGCGCTAAGTACTCTACCACCACCAGGCAGAAGCACTTCCAGGCTGCTGTTTGTAAATGCAATCGCTTTCATGAGTTTGGTGCCTGTAAATGAGAAACAAGACATATTATAATAATATTCATGCAATTTTTAATTATATTTGCAAAAAAAATTGGAATATATTTGTATATCGAGGAAAATAGATTAAACAAAAATTAATTAAATTAGAGAAAGTACATACCGTCAGTGACTGTCAACATCTTCGACTTCTCATTTTTCATTTCAAATTCTACGATTCGCTGTTTATCACCTTTAGATAAAGCTTGTAAGGGAGCAGACACTTTAACCAATAGACCTTCGTCGTCAGATAAGTCCGATAATAATTTCAATTTCTCGCCTGTCGGCAGTATTACATCGGTGACACGTCCTAGACTGTCGTAATTGTATATGTATGTTTCATCTCCCTGAAATTTTAACAACACATTGTGTTTCATCTCAATAAGAAATATATATAATTAATTCATTAAAAGTCTATTACTTTTTCATTATATATGATTAAATAAAGAAGAGAAAATAAATATTCAATCAATGGACAAAATGAACAAAACCTATTCTTTATTTATAAAAATGAGAGAGAGTAATAAAAATTTCTAACTTACTCCTGATCGACTGGTGAGCAAGCCTGTTGAACCGTCATAACCAAGAGCAATCTCCGCTCTGCCACGTTCAGACAATTTCTCCAGGAATCCAACCGCGGAGATTTTCAATTCGGATTTATGATCCTGAGTATTCTCAATAGAGCTAACGACGCTGCTGTAATCTCGCAGGAATTGAATCTTATTACCCGCGCTGTCCGTCACCGTGGACAACTTGCCGAAACTCGTGTTCTTGCTATACAAGAAGGAGTAACGGGTTTTTCCAGATGTCAAGTCCTTCGTGGAAATGTGTTGACCGTAGCGATTGAACACGTAGATTTCGTTCGAAGGTGGGAATGGGATGCGGAACTCCCCGTTCTCATCGTGGTTCGGAAGGTACGGCTGGAGAGCCAGGATATGAAGACTGCCCTGATCAGCTACGTGCAAGACACCGTCTGGTGAAACCGCCAGAGCAGATATTGCAGTAAACTTGGCGTTTGAAGAGAGGAGCGTTTCGGTGCTGCTAGTATCGTCCGTGCAGGTGCACGTGTCCAAGTCCTTGGTGCTGGGTGTAGTATTGTTGCATTCGCATTGACCGCGCAGTCTTTCCTGTTGTTGACCCGCGAAGTGTGACATTTTACCGGAGGAATCGACGATTCTAATAGAGTTCACTCGATGAGAATCGCGATCCGCTATGTACAGCTCGCCGGTTGGACTGAAACCGACAGCCAACACCGACCCGAGAACCTCGTCTGATTTTTTCAAATTCGTCGTCAACGAGGAGTTTAGTTTCGGAAGTTCATCGTTGCCATTGTTGTTATTTGCATTGCTGGTACAGTGAAGAGGCGTGCCAGCGACTACACGCACCTTCAGATCGCTGGTGAGTTTCAAGACTAGCCTGTCGTCGATGAAATGCAGAGATCCATCCAATGGGCTTAGGGTTAATCCGGTGGGCCATTGTAACTGAGCCTGATGTGCGGGAATGGCTCCGATGCAGGGAGCAGGCGACCAATGATTATGATGACCATGATGTCCCACGAGAGTATGTATGATTCCTCGAGGATCGACAGCACGAATATTCGTTCCATCAGCAATGTACATCGTTTTATCGGCCGCAATTGCGATTCCTGTAAATCATAACAAGAAACATATTTTTTAAATTATTTTTTACAAGTAATCCTTTAATCCTTTGAGAACGTAAGCTTTCTAATAGAAAAAAAGTCAAAGAAAATCTTATTATCTAAGAGTTATCAAGATCGCTGAATTCAATTCTGGCCTAAAATTAGATATAAAGGAATAATCTGATTATTATGAAACTCGATTTTAAAAGATTCTTGTTACGAGTTGGAATGTTTAAAAATGTCAAATTCTAAAAGATTAGTAATCTGCAATAAAGAAGGTCTAGTGTCACAGAGCTCGTAATCAGGATTTGGAAGTCAGATTGAAAATCATACTAACTGTGCATAGCACTGGTGAACTTCAAATAAAACGAAACTAGAAACTTAATATTACTCTTTGTAATTACAAATTTCTTAAAAGAGTTTATGCAGTAAGCAGATTATTTCTTTAAATTCTGTTCAATATTAGATTCATTATTTTTAATTTTTTATTTTTGACCCGAAATTCGAATACATTATAGCTTAAATTTCCCTATAGACTACAATCTGAAAATAAAAGAGGGTGATCCAAATGGGGTTACTCGTTCATAAAATATTAATTCTCAAATGTTCCGGTATGTATGTGTATATGTTCGTTACTTTATAAAGTATCTTTTAAATTATTCAATGTTATTCTAATAGTGCAAGTGTCTTTCAAAGAAAATGACAGATGTATTTTGAGTTGTCCTTCACCTTTAGGATGAGCCAATTTTGCATGGATGGCCGGACCTTCATCGCCGCAGTGACCCTCGTCACCTGGAATACATCTCTCACCACTTCCAACAACGGGCTCGATATTAATGCTTGGATCTTGGACTTGTTCCAACGAAAGTGCTTTCAATATCTGATGTTTCTCTGGGTCGCTGATATACAAGTGTCCATCAGCAGGCGAGATGCACAGATAATACTGATACGCCACTTGAGTCGCACTACAAAAGATGGCATAAAGGTGTGTTTGGATTAGATGTGAACCATTATTGAATTTTTGATTCGCAAATCTTGTAAAAAAAAAAGTTTACCTCAAAATCAGAACGGTGTAAACCTTTCCTTCGGGAGTGATTCTGCGCACGAGATTGAAATCTCCGACATATATGCTACCATCAGGTCCACTGGCGAGTGCCACTGGCGTCAGGAGTCTAGCATCCTTAGCGAGACCGTCACAATTCTGACACACCAAACTTCTTTGGAGACCAGTGCCCATTACCACTTTCACAGTGCGCGGATACTGTTTGAAATGTAGAGTAGAGCCATCGCCTTTCTGCAGGATCCCCTCGTGAAAGTTGTAATGGTGATGGATGTCGAGTCCCCATCCACCGATATCGGAGATATCGACGTCGAATCCCTGCAAAGTGGCCGTCTGCGTCTCCCATATCACCGACGGACAAGTGGAATGTTGATAACCGATCGAGATCCTCGCCTGCGCCACGCCGTACACCTTCTGCTTGTAAACGTTTCTCTTGTTCCAGGCAAACGTGTGTGTCAGATTCGGGTCGGCCTCGTACGTTTTCGTGTGAAGCGAGCCCTCGATCTCCACGTGCACGTGTACGTGCGTCAGCGATTTCGGAATGAACGGCCCGGTCAGTTGCATCCTCACGGTAGAGAGATAGCCCGCAGCCTGACTGCTTTGATACATCAAGTGGAGATTGGAGCCCGGAATAGCGATGCTTTCCTGCACGATCTGCAAGCGATGTTTAACGTTGCGTTAATACGGTCACATAGTGCTGTAATCTCCATCGTAAATATTGTTACATTCGTGCAGTGTCCTTTGATGCTCCCCTTCGAAAGCATCTCTGTCTCACGTAACATATAATGAGGTTCGTTATTTACCGTATAAGATTTATTATTTAACTTTTATTTTAATTTAAAATCTCGTGTCTCTTTCTATCCTTGCCATTCAGGCGTGTTAAGATTTCGGTCATCAAGATATAATAATTATGTCATTAAAAAATTTCATCCTAACTATGACGGTAAAGTCAAGACTGTATTTTGATTAAAGCAACGAGCGTGTTGTAATGATATTAAATCGTTTACGAAGTAGAAACTTACTTGACTTTCAGCAAAGACCAAGCTCTTCCCAGGCAAACCGCCAACTTTCTCAGGCATCCACGTGCTAACAATAATTGGTCGTAGTGTCTCGTGATCGTGCTCCAAGCAGGGACCGTGCTCGCTAAAGAGTCCCATCGAAATCCCTGGGAAGCCTATTATATTGTACTCCGTAAATGATAAGAAACTCAAAAATGTATAACACTCAAGGACGGAACAAAGACGGCACACACGTTGAACAACTCTGAAAACGAGGGTCCTATGAAGATCGCACGTGTAACGCGCGATCCGATCCGACATGGTCGCGAAAAGCAGTAATAAATTACTTACACCAATTTTTTTTTAACAGAACTTTTGCAAATAATAAAAAAATGTGCATTCGCTACTTTTGTTATCTCTTCTTTTCCCTGCGCGCCGGGATTGGTTTCAGGTGATCGAGCACGTACGCGCGTTTATCGAAACGTTTGTGACGTTAATGGGTAACGCGATCCGACACGTAACACGATGAGATATATGTGTACCAGGTCGACCGACCAAAAAAAAAGAAAAAAAAAAGATAAAAAAGGAAAAAAATCCGTAATACATATCCGAAGCTCGATGCTTACCAACTGCCGGGCTCGGCGGCTGGTTAGATTTATACGATTCGCCTTCCTTGCTAAGAATCATCACAACGGGTGGCAGGACCACGATCTGATTCCAGGGTACGAAGACGGTCCTCGTAAGGGGTTTGAAGGGGCTGCGCTGGAATTGAAGCGTCACGGCGCCTCCACCATTGACCAGGACGTCGAACCTGATCAAAGTACGTAATGCATTTCGAACTCCATTGCCGGTATTACGTAAGAATCCCGACGTAGGTCGATCAAGATAGTGCGCTCACTTTATCCGGGAATGAATGTCTGACGAGACCTTAGAATTGGAACGCAAAGTGTCTTGAAAGTTTTTTCGTCCTATTTGATTAATTTTCTAAACGTATTACTAATTGGCAAAATTTTGAAATACTTTCTTGTACAAAAAATTTACCTTGCAGCAAATAATGAAAATATTTCTGTTGAAAATGATACATCTTTTTATTTTGTTTTTCAGAAACAAAGTTGTGTATGAAACTTTCAATGAGATATAAATAATTACTAAAAGAACAATAATAGCCTTTTTCAAAGTATTAACGAGATGTGTAATTTTAAAACTTGTTTGAAGGATTATTATGATTATAGTCCTATTTATTGACGTGAACAATGAACGAAGTAGATTTTTATTTATACGTGCATTGTAATTTCTTCCTTTCAGCTTGTTCGTTATTTAAGTTTGTACCTAGGTTCAAAAGTACGCTATGGAATTTAATGAAGTAATATCCCTTCTCATATAAAATTACTGGCTTCTCTGAAAGTTGGAGCGTGGAACAAAAACTGTAGAACATATTTTTAACAGGATTTATAAAAGCACTGTACTTATTGAATTTTATTTATAGTTAGATTTAAAGTTCCCATTGAACTATTTAGAAAATAATTTTCATACATTTGTATAATACACGTTTATAAAGGCAAATTTTTCTGAGACAAAATAAAATATTCTACGAGACTAGTTTTCTTTTATACCAAAATAATTTCTGTATTTTATTTTTCTGCAAAATTTCGCGTATTAAAAATTTGATTATGCAAAAATTTGCAAAATGTGAAATCAGATTACGTTAATACACGGTAAAATTATTACACGCCGAAAAATTCATCTAAGTTATAATGCGCTGTAACGATATTATAATTGAAGGCGCGTCAATGAATGGAATAATACGTGCGCGCTTGTTATTTTGCATTTATGAACATTAATTACGAGTAGGCGCGGTGTTCCGGTCGTTGGATTAATATGAATTAAATCGAAAGAGAATGCCAGTGAAACAAAGTTTCGTAACGAGTAGATTCGGTCAATATATGCGAATGCATTTCGACGATCCGCGATGCACCGAGGGCCATGGACCGAGCCGTGGTACTGTAGGTTTGCACGGAGTAATTAGTAAGCTTTCGACATCATTAGCTCGGGCTTTGATGCGGTCTAGTATCCCAACTCCTCCGCTTTCCTGTTTCAGAATTATTCTCACCAGGATTGCTGTATACCCTCGCCTGATGTAGCCATTCCCGACTACATCCCCCTACCCCTCCCTCTTTCATTACAATGCAGCCTTGATACTATCGCGCAGGACGTCCAGCCCCGACCCTACATGTCGTGCTCATCGTATGTGCAAATGCTAATACAACGATGATGACGGCTATGTATACGTATATGTGTGTGTTGACCGCCGTTATAACTGTAAACGGATGTAACACGGATGTAACAACGGGCGTAACTCTTTCCATGAATCCCTTTCTATCGCCGGTAATATATTATCCGCGATAGCACCGACCCACTTATTTCACACACGACACTCAAGAATAATCAACAATTAGCAGATACAGATTAGAGATATTACGGCTCTTAAATGTGTTCTCAGAGCGCGATGGTAATGCATATATAATAATCTGGATTATGCCCGTGGTATCCGTCATTTACGTTATGGATGTCTGTCATTAATCGTGCAAATCCCTCTTTCAAAATAATATTATGCCACAGTAATAACTACATCGGCTTAAAATACGAACAGCATAATTGCCTTTACGTGTGTAGTAGTGAAATATTAATATGAATTACTATCCATTACCATATCTATTAGGGACAAACCAGAATGCACGTTTAAAATCATTTGTATCGTTTATATGCATTCATGAAATTATTCCAATTCAGGCATTTCGTCTGACTTTTTAGGCTAAAAAGTAAATCTACCTAAAAATAAAGTCTTTTAATTGGCTTAATATCTGGATACGCACTATGATAATCGACCTTTATTTTCTTTTTAGCACATCAGTCAAATCTTAAAAATTATTATTAGACATAATGATATTTAAAATTATTTTAATGATAATATTTCGGATAAAGATTTGCAAAATAAATCTGCCATTGGCGTCTCTAAGTATTTCATCATTTCATCTTTAAAGTAAATTTTATCATTTTAATTTAGAAAAACTACTAACTTTAACACATACACTGTTAGAGAGCAATCATAACCTAATCCCTTGAGTTAAATAACATTTTGTTATTTTTAACTTTTACGTGTATGAAAATGTAAATCAATCCATTCTGTGATTAAATTACTTAGTTTCAAAGCAAACAACGTCTATATTAACGAATGCACTAAGTACATAATAATTTATATCAAATTTAACACATTTTTTTTAGTTAAATTGTTTGACTTCATTGTTTTAGTTAAATTAATAACATACTGATTATATATTGAGTTGAAACAGTAAAAAACTATAGAAATGATTAAAAATAACTCAAATTGGATATAATTTGATATAAATTTAACAGTGTATAATAATCGAATTCGATGTGAAACTGGGTAATATAGAATAAGTGGACTATTAATTCTTACCATCCGTCTGTTCTAGTCAAGGTGAATCCAAAGCGCGAGTCCCTGTCCACGGACACTCTGATGCCTACTATTCCGAGTCCTTGTTCGGTAACAACTTGGCCTCGCATCACCGCAACTCGACTGTTACAAATTACAGATATATCGAGGTCCACCGAAGTGGGATCGTTTCGTCGACCCATTAATCCGCGCAATGCTGATTTAAAACGAAGCATTCTCACAATTTACATCTATCCACGATCGGAATGCAATTTTGCGCGCGTTGAAGCGAAGATAGGTAAAATTTTGTAAAAAAAAAAAAATCGTAAATTTTCACGGCGTTCCGTTCGAAACATTGTCCGTAACTTAAATACAAATATATTGGAAATACATTTCAAAATATCTAACCACAAATACCATCATAGAATTGTACATTAACCTTTAATTTAGAAATAAATGCCGTGCTTCAACAATTTTCGATTTAATTATTTTCGTAATCATTAATACACTTTACACTTTCATAAGATTGATTCCGAAGCCGTACGGTCGAATTATATCGCGATTAAATTTTCTGCGATCTCACCGCGAACAACGGCGGCACTGTTAATACCCACTTAGTGCCCGCCTAATTAACGAGTAATGCGATCGTACTACTCGGTCGATGCACGACCAGTGTCTTTACGCGAGCGCGGACATGAGCAATCGATTTCGCCTGTTAAATCAGCTTCCGCGGTCAACGGTTCAATGCGATCCAATATTCTCACTTCGCTGCCAATACAATCCGCAACTCCATTCGGCCGACATTCGACGGCCGCGTTGCCACGTACAAGGGAAGCTAATGCCTCTGGCTGAATCGAGGAGCGATACAAATTGATTTTACAAATAGAACAATGCCGCGTAGGCGAGGGGGTGGCGGAACGGGTAAGGGGGAGAGTGGAGAGGGTTGCGAGGTTGGACGGCGGGGGCAGCGGAACACGCGCAGTGCGTCGACGATGCATTGTGCTCGCGAAAATCAGCATTCGCGGTGGTGGCGATGGCAGCGAGGCGGGAACATTCTTCTCGGCACTGACTTTCAGGATTTTCAGAGACCAGAAAAAAAGGGAGAAAAAGAAGATGAAGAAAAAAAAAGAAGACATAATACTCCGTCCCGAAGCGAATGGATGAGAGTTGGGACGGGGAGGGGGGAGGGGGAGGAAAATTCGTAGGAAAATTATCTCGTGAGAGAGTAAAAGGCATGCAGTCATGTTATATAGATACGTAGTAGGCGTGAGATATGTAATATGTAATATAATAATAGACGTATCATATGAACTTTTCATGGACGGAATTGAGGGATCGAGAGAAATGGATGTACGAGGCCAGGGAGGCTGGACTCTCGGCGAGAGAAAGTTGAAATGTTATGAAGCTGAATATTTTAAGCGATTTGTGTAGTGCTGAATATAATGAGGTCGATGTATATAGGTACGTAGATAATATATATAATGTATATAAGAGATATATATGCGACACGTTCGCATGTGTGTATATAGCTTGTTACACCACCCGTTGGGCCGGCCGAGTAACGAATGTAACGCGGCACGTGCGACATGAGCTACGGTCCCCCGCGCCGTGTAACAAGCTATATACCCATTTATATGCATTCGGTATGTAGATATATATAGATATATATATTTATCAGTCTCTAAGGGATTGCGTATGGGGGCATATTCGTTCTTGGAGGATCACGCGTCCCCAACGCTCCGCGTAACATCGATGGTCACAACGTCACACAACATAAGACCATCGACCGTTTCCGTTAATTGTCGTAATCGTGATTATCGAGTAAATTCCATGGATGCTCAGGGATCGAAACCGGGATTATTTTGACGAGATCGGCTCTTGCCGTTAGATAAAAGTGCGCCGGATATATTGACGCTTTTGTTAATTTCTTATAAATCGCTAAAGTATCGACATTTTGTCCAAACTAGTGACAGCCTTATTCTTTTAAATAAAAAAAAAATCAAGAAAGATTCTTTGTATAATATAATAATATTATATTATAATAACTTATAGCAGTATGTTTAAGAGATATTGAACGAACTATAGTGATATAAGATAAGTAATAATAATTAGACAATACTCGATTATTTTCATGTAAATTAAAAATGCATGTTCATTTTCGCAAGAATGAAGTAGTTGAATTTTATATAAAATACTCAAGTTTTCAAATTATAAAAATTATTCACTGTTTTCCTTGATAGTTCGTCTACATTCTATATTCTTCGCCAATCGCTTCTCTGCCGTTGCGAATAACACAGATTTGATTTTTTTGTCACATATACGAAGAAACGAAATGCGATATCACTGTCAGACAATGCTATCGGTTTCGATCACTGATCGTGCCTTCGTTTCGAGTGGCTTGGAGATCAAACTATGCCGGAGGGAGGCGGGCGCTGATCCTCCAAGTGCGAGCATAGCAAGGTGGCAGGCACAGTCGTCACTACTGTACGTCCAAACCCATAGTGAATGATAAACAGAAAAAGAAAAACGGATGATGCTCGAATGCACCGAGATTTCTAAAGGCAGTCGTAGTCAACCTATATGCAAATAATGAAAGAAGAGAATGTACACGCGCGACGCGTACCTAACGCCGTTAGGAATTGTTAATCTAGCTAATTTTCTTTTCTTTCTTTTTTTTCTTTCTTTCCGCCGAATCTTACGAGCAAATGGTCATCGACGATTTCATTCTCTTTCTCTGTTTTTGAATGAATCTTTCTCTCGATTTATATGTCTTTTCTATTTCTCTCTCCGCCTCTCTTCCGTCGTTCTCGCGCGAACGAGGACGTCGAGGACCGATCTCGGAGAAATACCAAGACGCACGAGAGATCGCGAAATTTTCAGTCGAAATAATTTCAGCGGAATTAACAAATGTTCGTTGTTTTCAGTAAGTACTTCGCGCCAGAAAGAAGCATCGTTAAGTTAGTAAAGCGGGAATCTCGGGGGTAGACGGACGAGAGTAGAACTTGGGATTGGCCGGGTCTGGGTGTGATAATTTCGGTGGGTTTCGATTTCCTCGGATATCGGATAAAGACAGACACAGGGCGTTGGTGTCGGGTTATTGGCACATTTTAGACAGGTGATAATAGACGCAGACAAGGGACAAGGAGAGACGGTCCTTTAGGGTTCTTCATCATGAACTGTACGGTGCCGATTAGCAATACTTGCCGATCCGTCGATAGAACAGAAAGCGAACATGTACACTTGTTGAGTTATTATCTCGTGTTCGTATCGTATGTATATATATAATATGATAGAAAAAGGAACGATATAATAAAAAGAACGCAACAGAGTCGTTCACGCAAGAGGCGCGCAATAAGGTCAGCGTTCGTGTAAAATGCTAGGACGTTCACTATAAGACAAGTTCGACAGGATGGTACATAAAGTGCAAGCCTGGCAAACACAAACAACACAAGACCAGGTTCGTAAGTACACGACTCGTAACATACTATTATGTATATCAGTCATATGGCTAACGCATCTAAGGGACAAGAAGACAAGACATAACAGAAAAGGGAGACAACAATCTGACGACATATCACAGATAACACAGAGACAATTCGTACGGTTGACTTTAATGTATACGTGAAGAGTTTTGCTCATGGGCAGACGCTCCCTGATGATGCGTACAAGCATATTATATATTTTCTATTATATATAAGCGAGATAAAAGGTAACCCGATAACTAATGAGATTCTGTATATTATAATAAAAAGAAAACGGCATATAGGCCGATATTCAGAGTTCGTTCTTATTTCAAGACTGTTCTAAATAATGTCTTAAGATATTGATACGGCCTTCTGATTGATCCGTGACGTCTTAAGGCCGGAATCAAACTACGCATTGAAGAATGAGATTGAAGATTGAAAGATTGAAGTTTGACCAATCAAAACAAAAGGAGCCATAATTTCTTTGTCCTCATTGGTGAAATTTCAATCTTTAATCTTCAATCTCAATCTTCAATGCATAGTTTGATTCCGGCCTTAGAACGTCTTGAATATAAGAATTTAACCATGAACAGCGATCAGAAATAGAATCTTCAGAATCAGAATAATGCTTATTTTCAAAATATTCCGTTTCCTTTTTTTTCCTGCATTAAACTTCGCCCTGGATCTATTTCTGACGTGGATTTTACAAAACCAGAGAGAGTGTTCTACAAAGAGGATTTTAAAAAAGTAGGTTACCGAATATTTGTTGTAAATTCGATATCAATACAAGGAGGATTGTTTCTCGTTCGTATGTTTTTTTCAAAGTCCATGGCGTTTTTATTTGCGAACATGTATTCGACTATTTTTATAAAAATATAGACGGAAACCCGACGAGAGACGCGCGCACGCGGCGCTACCTCGAGCGGGATAAACCGCCACAAAAACCGTCAACGACTCATCTCCTGTACGTATCAACGCGAGCGTGGCCATGAGGCGCGAAAGTGAATAAAGACAGATAGGTCAGACAGATAGATAGAGTGATTGAGAGAGAAAGAGAGAGAGAGAGAGAGAGAGAGAGAGAGAGAGAAAGAGAGAGAGAGAGAAAGAGAAAGAGAGTGGACGAAGTAGAATAGGAGATGGCGTTCGATGAAAGAGATGAGAGACAAATAAGCAAAGTGTGATCAAACATTAGCGAAACGCAAATATTCGTATAATGAGAAATGATAACAGGCTGTTATATGAGCGGCGTAAAAATAAAGAAGGCAGAAAAAGAGACAGAACGAAACGTTAGGAAAGTAATGACAGTGTAAAGGCAGGCTAAAGGTTCGATATATAAATACATAAGTGTTACATATTAATGGGTCATACGAAAGACATGTAAGATGAATGTACGAGCGAAACGAGCAATAGATGATACTTTGTTCTTTCTTTTTTTTTTTTTTTTCTTTTGGATAATGAACGATTAGCGAGAGCTTGAGCTGCAACTTACCGCGGTGTAAAGGAACTCCAGAACGTACTACGTGTGGGAAAAACCAACGAGAAGAAAGGGCGTTACCACGGTCACAGAACCCGCGTTTGCGGGCAAAAAACGAAGGCGCGTGCGCAGCATTGCGCGAGCAATCGTTTCTCGAGCAATTGCCCCCGAAACGGCAATTTTTCTACTATTGCAAACGCGATCGCGTGCGACTTTGACCGCGCGCGTTAAAACTATCCGCCGCGATCTTTAGTCGCGTTCCGGACCTTTCCCGTCTTCGGCTCCGTTCCGGCACCGGCTGGACCGGCACGGAGACCCCGCGAGTGCTCCTCGCAATGTTCCGCACGCCATTACAGAAACAATAGACGTAGACACACACTAATCAAGCGTACCCATCACACACGCGATTCTTCCAGTCACGCAACATGAACGCAGTCACTCTCGGACTCATTCAACATAGAGTGGTATACAATGTGACAGACACAAGTTGGAAACTACGCAACGCATACACATATGTATATATAATGATGTATATATAATATATATATATAATATATATATATATATATTTATATATAGGGTCCGGAAAAACGAATGGCTGAATAACCGGTTGTATGTTAATACACGGCGTCATTTCAACCGGGGATGGTGTCCCATGACACCACCCTTGGCGCGGGCACCCTGATGGAGCAACCCGAGGGAAACTCTTATCAGTTCGGTGTAACCAGGGTCGAAAGGATCGCCTGGACCGACAACGAGAGGAGATTCCATCGGCGTCGATCTAGGGCCCGGGCTGAGGGACGATTCTCGAATATTGATTACGCTGTCCGAGCAACCTCAATGCCAGTCTGAATACTTGATTCACGATGGAGCGCTTGTATCCGTGAGCATCTTTCTCGTTTGGAGCGAACGCGCTTTAAAAATCATGTTAACGCAAATAACTTCTCGAAGGAGATACGAGAATTCTGATAGTAAAAATGTCGAGGTATTCACGAAGCTTACAAACTCTAAAGACAAGTAATGAAAATAATGGGTATTTAATAATTGTTTATTTAAACCAATGAATGTTGAAATATGTCAATAAGCCTCAAATAGCATTATTAAATGTTCAGTAGTCATGTTAATGTGTGTTATTTAAGTTTAGTTATGATTTAGTTAAATTGAGAGATAATTAACAATATCCCATTGTTGAAACTTTTAAACGAGTGCAAGTGTTGGCCGCAAGTATACTAGGAAGTGTAATCAATATTCCAGCGATATTACGAGACGAATGGACAATGGACAAAAACAATACTCTAAATGTTCGACTTCTGGAATAGTCTTCGACGACAACATGGACCTTGTTATACGCACCGTATAGACAGTTTTCGTGGAGCAAAAAGAAGGCGACGGTACGAGAAATTTCAAACTTGTGTCTACCATATCTAGAAATACTTTTACGAGTGGGCGAGTCACGGCGCTTGTGCTCTTTGACATCGATAGCTCTCTGCACAGACTTTCACAGATAATTGCAAATTCTCGTTAAGGGAGTTTTGATCTCTGCCCGTCTGACTCAACCATTCGTACGCTTTATCTATATGAACTCCTTTCTCGTAATCGCTTAACGAATGGCCAGATTATTGGTGTCGGAAAGCAATTTTGAAAATTGTATCTCTGTCCTTCCTTATATATGTTGTTAATTATATTGCGCGTAGGCCGAGTACTGTTATACTTTATGACGATAACGAACAGTGCCTAGAGTACATTAACGCGTGAGAAATGAATTAACTAATAATAAGGTAATACAAAAGCAAGTCTCTAGCATATTCTCGTTATGCAGACTTTTGTCATTCAGTCCGTAGGCAGAACGGAGCCTTTTTTCGGTCTTCGGCTGTAGGGTGATTGGTAATCTGGTGATGGTAAAGGGCTACACACAGAGGATAAACACTAGACAAAATACACGATACCCCCGAAGTACCGTCACGGCTTCTTCCAGTTCAGCCGCATATCGATAATCACTTCTTCAGTGCCGAACAAAGGAAGACAGAAAAAATTTTTTATCTGATAAAAAATTCTTACATGTGTCTTTTAAAAAATATAAACTTTTTGGAAATTGTATTTAGTTTATTTCTTTAACACTTTTTTTGTTATACCTTATTGCTTAAAGCATCATCTTAATTGATTTCACGTAAAATATAATATATCCATTAATTATTATATTAAAATATCTTGTGCATTAACGATGAATGAAAAATTAATGATTTTTAATGACAAATTTTTCTTAGACTAATAATAAATAGTCTCCTCCTCAGTAACGTATAAAGATAGAGATGAATTTAATCAATTGCAAACTTAACATGTATTTATTTATTTAGCATGACAGTTAATAACTTGAATTAAAAATATGCATTAAAAAAAATTTTTGTATCACAAACACAGAGATTAATTAATGAAAAATCTTTGATTGGCAATGATTCCGAAGTAATCATCGATACAATTGGCATTCGGAGGGGGGAAAGGGGTGAAACACTAGGAAAGGATGGTTAGAGGGTTGCAGGGTGTCACCCACCGGGGGCTCTTCTGATATTTCAGCTGTTACGGATGTGGATTCATGACGATTCGATAAAATTTTTGTAGCATTCAACGGTTGCTCACGATGGGGGAAACATCATTAAATAATTAATCGCAGTATCTTTATTTAAGTAATATTTGCATATAACGTCAGCTCGTAAACCAATAGTTTCGATGTGTGACATGTTTAATTAACGAAATACTTTATATTGCGTTGCAAATTACATAAAGTAACGATATTGACAAGACTACGATGACTACGATTCCTGAATTTGTTACTATTTTAGCCCATCGATCGTTTTCGCAATTAGGTTCTGTTTATTATCAATTTATGTAGGGGAGGAATATGCAGATTCTCTTTCACAATATCAGATTTTGTGTATCTATTTCGTACAGCTTGTATTGTATCTGTATTAAACGTATATTTCATAAACAAAATTTATATTACGCTTCCACAATAAATTAAAAACAAGTTATACGTATTCAAAGCTGAAAATATATTTTAATTAACTTTGTCTCGTCCACGTGAAATTATTGGTGAGCATCGTACACGCATATATGCAAGATAATTAAAACGCGTAAGTTACATGATAATATTCATAACTCGATAACCGTGTGCAGCGTGACGCGATATATTGTATTTTAGCACATTAAATTTGTCAGTCCTGTAAACTGCAATTTTGACATTAATAACGCTTTTCAGGACGTTCATTGCATACGTCGAAGACAAATTTTCACGGCGTGCCGTATCAAAAGGAATGAAAGTGCTCAACTAAACACGATGATACGCGTATTTCTGGCTAACGATAAAACTGAGAAAAGTAATACGCGGTCGCATGAAAGTCGTAAAAAGGCCAAACTATGACACGCAGCTATGCTATTTTATCTTCATTAAATGTCATGTGTGCAACGTTTACGATCGACCGAGTCGTTACCCGCGTTTATGTATATATACTCTAAAACATTAATGCAAAAATAAAAAGAAGAGAAAATGTGTGTTGGGAAAAATCTGTCAGAAATGTTATGAAGGAATGGCAAGTTCTCGGTCGTTCGAACACGTCACTCCCGCTTATCTTATGAAAGTAAGAGACTAAGCGAACTCTAATTCGAATTTTAATCCGTCCGGGTGGAAATGATCGATCTTACCTTTCCGTGTACTCGTCCATGTGGGCGTAGCTCTGTACGCTGTTCTCCTCGACGAGGAACTTTACTCGTTGATAGAAGGACGCTGTGACGCTGGGTGGTTGTTTTCGGAGAAGAACGTCCACGGGATTATTACTAGCAAGGCACATGATATGTTCTGAACAAGCTTCGTGCGAACAGCACTCACTATCAGAGCAGTCCATCATGCCATCTGAGAAAGGCAATCTGTTAGATATCCACTCGAACATGTCTTGCACTCGATAAGATTCTATTTCTTAAATAATCTTTTAAGGATGTATTACACGTATTTTTTAACGAAATGAACAAAATAGATTTTTCTATATTGCATTTGTGTATATGTGAAAATAATACAAAAGATTGATAGTGATTTACGACAAAGATCAAAAACTGTTATAAGTAGACATGTTTTTAAAAAATAATTAAGATAAAATGAGAAAATTTTCAATTTAAACTATAAAATTGTATTGTTAAATAAATATTAAGTTTATTGATGTGTTTCATACGTATATTAACATTTATTTTTATACGGAAGGTATAAATTTTTAATTTCAATCATTTATGCAGAGATTATACACACATGATACATCCTTAAACGATCTTATCTCTCTCATTTTTATATTTTTATGAGCTTAGTAAAAGATTGGATAAATGCCAGTAATAAAAATTGACATTTCGTTCACGCTGTTATAGTTTAATGTTATGTAGAATGCAATTAACATTTTCCTGTAGGCAAATACTATCTCATAATCAATAAATTTCCTTCCTCCGTTTATTGATTTTTCAAGAGTAATATTCGTTAGATACAGATGGACAATAGTATGCCATTAATCAGTGTTGATTTAATACTGGGTTACTTGAGGACTTACCTTCGTCATTGTCAACGTAATCATTACATTCCAATTCGAGTCGTATGCTGCAATCTCTGCCGGCCCACCCGGTTGAACATTCGCAACTGTATTCGCCATCCTGTAGGGTACACAATCCATGGCGGCTACATCCATTCTCACATCCGGCTATTAAAGAGAGAAAACCATTTCCAGACATCGTTTTCAATAATTACAGTCGACTAATCGATTATTGAAAAATGATATTGCGTCGTTTCGTATCGGAGAACTTATTATTGATAGCAAAATATATGTTCACACAACAAAGTAAAACACCGAATTTATTGTGATAACATAGTCTTCTATTTTTTACGTACGTAATGTGCAATGCCTTCCGTTCCACCCTTGGCTGCACACGCAGGTTCCATTTTTGCATTGACCATGCTCGGCGCAACGCAAATCACACGGTTTTTGATCGCATTTCGTTCCAGTCCAGTCATCGTGGCATCTAAAAATATAAATTTGCCTCGCACCTCACAGATTTTACATGTATTACGGATATTAATTAATTTCTATTCAATAACCGAAGTTGCGAAATAAAAACAGTGAGAGTATCCACATAGAAAATATAATAATACTGTTTTGTTACACGTATATACCTATTACTCGCGTTTTGGTATATTAATTGTTTCGTACTTCGTACACGATACGAAAATGTTTCTAACAGGATTCGTTATGTTAAACGGCGGTATCGCCGAACGTAAAATAATTTCTCGTCGTTTATACCGGCTGCAATAAAAAATGCGAGTTTGAACTGAGTTCCGAAGTTGTTCTGCCGTAGTGAGGAACTTTTTGCACTTAGAGCCTCTTTTACGCCAACTCTTGGGGATGGAACGAGAGAAAAAGGGGGGGAGGAAGAGAGGGGGCAGTAGACGAGAGGCGTCAGCTTTAGAATATGAGAAAGGAGATCCTCTCTCGCGTCCTTGATTCTGACAAAGGAAAGTAGGAAGGGACGAGGACGGTCCTTCGAGTTGTGATAAGTTGGCGCCTCGTAAGACAGAGCCTTTTTCTCGCAATTTTTCACCTTTTTAGCCTCAACTTTTGTGCCTGCGATCCTGGCGAGCAATTTACTCATTTTTAGGCCATTCTTCGCCCACATCTATCCCACAATATTTCAATGTCCCGACAAAACGTTACTCTTTCTCTTTCCTTCTCGAGCGCGGATTACTATTAAATGCTTCACGACGTGCCTCCCTCGTGCATTCGTTGAAAACTTTACGACGTTTCTCACTCTTCGACGCGGCATTACCCGGTAATCTATTCCAGTCGTAAAAGTTGCAAAAAGCTTGCACGTCACACTCTATGAAACAGAGAGAGAGAGAGAGAGAGAGAGAGAGAGAGAGAGAGAGCGCGCGCGCGCGCGCGTAAATGGCCGCCACGTCCGCACAATTCCGCAAATCTCCCGCATTAAACAATGATCTTGCGCGAGGTGTGGGCGTCATATGGAAGAGAAACGAATCGAGGTCGCATGGAATTTCTTTAATCCGAGAAAAACGACCCTGGTCGTTGAGACACGCGTCACTTTCCTCGTTCAATCCCGGAGAGAGCGGCTGTTGGCCGGTTGCGCCAACGGGTAACCCAATTCCGAAATCCCGGTCGCAACACGTCCACGGAAGGCCCATAAAGGACGACGATATATAAAGGACGGAGTATGTGTGTGCGTCATATGTGTATACTGACTTGCAGCGGCCTTGCTCGCAGGATCCATGAAGTCCGCAGTCTAGACCGCAACTCGGCTGCGAGCAATCGACCCCCGTCCAATGCTCCTCGCAAACGCAGGCCGCAGATTCGAGGTCGTACGTGCCGTGATCGGAGCAGCCGGGCAGACACTGGTACACCTGCTGATCAACCTGATTGCACCGCTCGCCCTGCCAGCCGGCCTTGCAGTAACACTTGCCGGAGACACAAGCGCCGTGGCCGCTGCAGTTCGGATCAGAGCAGTCGGCTGAAAGTTGAGAGAGAGAAAATGAATCGAGTGCGCGTTTAGATTAGAAATCATCGCGTTTTTACGGTTCGGCACAACTTGCGGAGCTTCTCGTTAAAGGATAAACTTCCCGTTTGCGTGGTGAACGCATTCCCGGCGCACCCCGTCAGTTATCAGAGCCCATCCCCGTCTTCCCTCTCCCGTCACGCCCGGGCGCCGCTGATTGCGTCCATGGCGTGGACGAATGGACCAACTTTTTAAATTATGGCATCGGAACAATTGCATTATTCCCGCAGATCCCACCTGCCCCGGGGAAATTATGAAACTTAATTCCACAGCGTCCTTGGCGCAGCAGCGACGGCAGCGGCGGGGGCGGCGGATTATATGTATACGGGATACGAGAGATGAGAGAAATTCCTGGCGGATTCTTCTTGCATTATGTATGCGCGACGTTGATCGAACGGGATCATAGATTTGTTCGCTTTCATTAGAACCTGACAGGTGCGTTCGCGCGCCATCGTGAAACGTAGAAACGCGAAACGCGGTAAATTGGGCGTTGAAGTATGATACCATTAAGTGTATTTAATGGTACATACAGAATGTTTCCTCGGAATGAGCTCTTTTCGGTAAAAATGTTGAGACATCAATTTCTAAGTCGTGAACGATAAGCGAAACGGTAGTTTTAGGAAATTATTCATTCGGCAGAAATAGGCAAAATTTTATTTAAATAATAGATAATAAATAAAAGAGACAAGACATAATTTATTCGTAAGTAATAAACAAATTTTTGTTCGATCAACAATTTATTCGATTCAACGATAATTTAAATAAATTCTTATCTAAATAATTATTCAAATAATATATATATATATATATTCATTATCTACTAAATGTACGAAAAATATACAAATGATATTATTCCATTACATATATTATCGAATAATATAATAATTTAAATCAATAATAATCATTTATATATTGTATTATTGCTAATAGAACAAATAAAATTATTGTATATTTTTTCTTAGAAATGTTTCATTTTCAAAACGTATTTAAAAGTTGATAAACAAAAAAAAACTTAAATAAGTGGATAGAAAATTAAATTATATAATTAGAAAGAAATTACATATTACATACCTTTTCAGAGAGCCTTTCTCTCTCTTTCTCTCTCTCTCTCCCTCTGTATCTCTTAAATTATTATTTTTGTATGTAATAAAAATTCAAGTAATATACATTAATTACGGTTCTATTAATTAATGTTTAATATTAATTGCATACTCTTTTTAGATTAATTTAAAGTTTAATAATATATATATTTTTAATTCATTTTTCGAGTTGGAGAGCTTCCTTTGCAAGTAATAATTAAAAAAAAAAATAATGAGAATAATGCACATAATAAATAAAATTTTATTTGAATAGTAAGTTAAATAAAAAATTATTGGAATAATTTGCCTAACTCTACGTCATTTTGATAATTAAAACGAAAATTAATCTTTCAGAAATTGAATGTGTCATAAAATAAATCATGTATGTATTGAGTATATCATATGCAAATATAATATATAAAATATAATACAGAGATTGCTATTGTCTCTAAAAGAAATTCTTTAAAAGAAATGACTCTTGATTCGGATTCTTATTCGCCAGTTAGTTCTCATTTGCCGTCGCAACTAATGCAAATCCGTTTCCGCTCCTGAAATTTATCGTTCTTACGATTGGAGCTGACATATTCCACTGACGTGGAACTAATACCGTTTTCGCCTGCGTTTAGGAAAAAGCGACGGGCGAGCGTATCTCTAACGAGGACCGTGAGAATGTCAGAGACGAAGTGTCTCGTTCCCGGCGAATAATCTCGTCATTTATATCGTGCGTCACTCAGTCCCCGGAAGTTCCGGGGCTACGCGAAATTATAACATATCGAACGCAGCTGCGTGTCGCGCGCGCGCACATGCCTGTGTATTATTCAAATTCCCGCGAAACAATACGAAACTAATTGTCGCGCCGAATTGGCATGGCTTGACCCATATGTAAATTTGGAGAACTCCGCGTGCATTAATTATAGGTTGTACACAGGCCGACTATGTTTCCCACCGACGGGGACTCTGCATTACTAATCTTGAATCTCCCCGGATAGAGGGCCAGGACGTACGCTTGAATTATGGGAAAATTAATGATGCTGTGACAAACATGAAGAAATAACGATGCCGGGGCAGAAATAGATGTTCGAGGTAAACGTTTTCCGTCACCCGTGATTTCCGCTAAGCCGTTTTTAAGGCTGAAATATGTGCCGTGACGTCGTGCACATTTGCAATGAAACGTCATCGCTCGTAAATTGTATTCAGATCTTTTCAAAGTATTCCGATATTCCGATACAGTCGATCTTTTCCCTTTTTCATCCATATAAGAAAATATAAATTAAATTTAGAAGCAAATAATTTACTCCTAAATTTTTCAATATCTCGAAATAAGCTTCTCAAATTTTTTCCTAAACGCATGTCGTTTGATTGATCCTCTATCAACCCAACTTACGTTCATCGCAAAAGTTGCCCTTCCAGCCGGGATTACAGACGCAAGATCCTCTAACGCACTGGCCATGCTGATTACAGTCAGGAACTTGGCAGTCACCTAACGGTATGTCGCATTCCGCGCCTTTCCAACCCTCCTCGCAGTGACACACACCACCACCATATTGTCCGTGCGAAGAACACAAAACCGGACACACGCTTTTGCTGCAATCAGCACCCTGGAATCACAAAAATTTGGTTTCCTTAATCTTTAATTTCTTCAAATGAACAAATAATTTAAAGATAATTATTGGGTTGGAAGAGAAAAGTAATATCGTATTTTTAGCTCAAAATTATATATAAAATACATTCGTTAAAAATAAATAAAATGTTAATTTCAGAAAAGGATTTTAAAGCTTAAAATCTCTACTTTCAAAGGGTCTATGTTTTTTGTATTCCTATGAGTTTAGTAATTTTTACATATAGAAAATTACGAGCTGGACAAAATGGGAAATTTTTTTCTCACTTTGTGGGCTGCGTTCATGTGCAAAAAAAATTGTTAAATTTTCGACTTTCTAATGTAAAATTTTAATTTTTTTTATAAAATCATTTTTTTTTTAAATGTTCCTAAGATTTTTTGTTGCTGATGTAAAAAGGAGCATTTCGACAAACTGAATCGGCACGCGGTTTATACAAATGAAAAATATAATTGTAATTCTACATATTGAATATTATTAAGATCCATTTCGAAAATAGGATTTTTCTCTTATTTAATTTAAAGATAATTTTACAAAAACGCACCTGATATCCGTCTATACAATCGCATTTGCCAAGGTAGCACGATCCACGTCCGGAGCAGTCATTGGGACACGTAGTGGAAACCCCTTCGGCTTCCGTCACGACCAAAGTAACCTTGTAAGGCTGCAACTCATCGTTATATACGGACAGGAACCAGTCACCGGTGTCAAAGTACTGCAGTAGACTGACATTGACCATCAGTGGTTCCACAATGGTCCTCTTAATGAGCACGTGTTGATAAAGCGCGACCGGTTGCGGCACGCGCTCCACGTGGATGTCTTGCGGATTGGTGGACTGCATAAAACTGACGGCAGTGATGTCCCTCTTCAACCTGTGGACCACTCTGCCACCTTTGACGAACTCCACGAAATCGTACTGCGTGACGCTGGGCGCGACGTTCCGTCTGCCGTACACTGCGAAATTCGCACCCCATGGTAGGGTCAAGTTCAGCCTGATGAAAGCTGGCTGCTTGTTACGGAACTCCGTGTTCCAAAAATGGTACGGCTGAATAATGGCGGAGTGCGCGACGTTGTAGGCCTGCAGCTCGAGCACGGCTGGCCATTGCTGCGCCGATTGCTGGATCTGCGGATCGCTCTGTTGATCACCGGCGCTGTCCGCGGCGCTCGAATGCTCCGCCGTACTCGTAGGCAGGGATTCTATACGAGAGAGAAACACGAGGATGTAACACATTGGATGACACAGTAGCAAATCGTTAGGAAAGTCATATGGCAAATAAAATCTAGTAGTCTTTTTATAAAAAAAAATCTCTTTCTAACTTATTCCACTGCAAAGTGACTTTCATTTAGAATTTAGATTGCAAATGTAAACTGTATGGTGTATAAGTTTAACGAGTAAACAACTAAAAGGAAGAATATCATATTTTTGTTTCTAAATGTATTATTTTTAGAAGAAAATAAAAATATTATTTTATAAATAGAATATTGTCAGATATTTTTATTTTAAGTGGAGCAGATCACGCACTCTTTATGTTTTTTTATTGCTTCATATCTCTCAGTTTATCTTCATATCAAGTGTGTCAAATGTACTTCAATTGTTCAATTACCTTTTGAAATTGGTACAGCTCATAGTGTGAAATCTTTACAGCGGATGACATTTGGACATAGTCCTTGCTAAAGATATTATATTGATGAAATGTTCATCCACTCGCGCTTCCCAAAAGCAATTAGCGTATGACGCCGTGCGCGAGAGTATTTACATCATGCAGAGTAGATGCAAATTAATACCGCTCGATATTTACCTTCTGTGGGGATCTGCGTGGATATCGAGTCGTGGATGTGTGCGTTTTCGTGAGTGACAGCCTTGATATCTTGAACCAGAATGCAGTTAGTGCTGTCTATCGGGCGCATAGAGCTCACTGCTGGAAAGTAAACAAAGCCATTCCATTTTAGAATAAAAGAAAGATGAAAATCTACTATGTGCGGAGAGAGAAATGCCCTACGCGCAATCGCGCGTATAAGACACAAATGTTATATTTGCAACGTACGACCAGTATTCTAGTACGAAATAGTATTGCCCGTGCGACGCTTTTATAGCGTCAGGAATCAAGAACGGCTTTAGTCGAACGTCTGGCAGCAGCCTAATGGGTTCATAAATTCGGACAATCGCTTTCGAATTACGATAGCACACTAGATTTCCCATGACAACCAGACCTTCCTGCTCGAGTAACTTTTAAAACAACGTATCCCTGTAATAAAGTTTGAGATCTCACGGCTTAAATCACAGTTGTATCGAGCGTACAATATTGCTTCATCAGATCAAGAATTCTGGGCTAGTATATGCTGTAATATCTTTTTTTACATCGTCTATATACAATATAATATTTCTCTTTAATTTCAACAAAATAGTGATTTTTTCTTAAATTTCAATAAAACGAGATTAATAATCGACGATTCTCATTCAATAATATTTATTATAATATCGCTCTCTTACTTCAAAAATGTTACAATTAATTTGAAAAATTGAGTTTCCTAGAAAAGAGGAAAACTATTTATCAACTTGACGGAAAATTATTTAATTTACTAGTTAAATAATATCGGTAAAATAATATTTCTTAACATGATCAAATATCACTTTTGTCGTTTTCATTTCATAGTTCTCAGAAACTCTTTTTGTGGCGATTTTGATGATTCTTTCTCGAAAACTACTATTTTTAAATTGTGATGATTTTTTATAAAGTTAAGTTAGATTACTTTTAATAATTGATAGAATAATATTTTTCTAACTCATTCATTGTAGTAGATAGTAAGTAACTCGAAAATCTTAATTTTTTAGTTACGTCTTTTGAAGTAAGGGGGGGGGAGCCGTATATCCAATGACAAACGATATCCAAGTTTTGGATAAAGATCCCTCAAAAACCAATTAATATCGTCTGATATAATCCAAGATCCAATTATGTTGATGCTGTATCAGTAGTTATCTGAAGTTTCAGGTCATTTATATTAATGTTTTCTGAGCGATAAGTGCAAGTTCGTTGAATTTAAACGCCATGATAAATTCGGCAATAAAACCCTTATCCGTGGCGGGATATTGCGGTTTAATTAATTATCTGTCTCGTGCGCCGCGAGCGCCACGAATTAATTACGCGGTTTAACGAGAGTTTTTAAAAAGCGGCAGGCCCGGGCCAACGCAACCCCGCCTAACGACCTCTTGGCTTATCAACGCAACAAAACATCGATAACGCATAATTGAATTTGCGTGTTATTGCCGCGCGGATGATTTGACAAATCGCGATTCGCCGATACACTCGGCGCCGATATTTAATGGACGCGTTTTCGCGCCCCACGATTTATCGTATCGCGGATTGTATAAGCTTTCTGTCGTGATAATAACACTCGTTATTGCGCACGCCCGTGTACCGTTTCTAGTGGAATTGCCATTGTCATGTACATTATTATTTTATTATATCTTTATAGCGTTTTGCTAAAACATGTAGAAAAATATAGCGTTAAATAAAATGTAGACCCTAAGTGAGCTTTCAATATTTGATACGAAAGAAGTAGCACGTAAACACGTGAAAGCATATAAATTAGATAATTTAATAAATGCAGAATAATACCTAAGTCCCCCAATAATTTTCCCAATAACTTTGTCCCTGGCCATAGAAAAGTCTTTTGTGTAGACGATGGCCCTTGACAAGTTTCTTCGAGGTAAGGAAGCTGTGCGATACGTGCGAGATAAGGCGTACACGTAAAAGTTTTTCGTGTACGTACGCATATGGACACGAGCGAGCGTGTACATGTACACATGTACGCATGTCAGACCGGAGATAGGCGAAATGACCGGAAAAGAGCGACTATTCCTTCGGGATCGACGTTGCCTGGCCACCATGTAACTATCGCTGAAATTGAGTTGCAGTGAACTGTGAATGACCTTATTTCGCGTATATGCCAGTCAGCGTGGCATCGTTTTCGTTCCCGCTTCACGTCGCTGCAACTCAGCAATCCAACTTTCCACATATCGCACTGGATATCGAAAAAAAGAATCACCCAGTAATTTCGACATACTAATACTACGATTAACAGAAAAGGGACGAATCATTTTATACATAAAAAAAAAATCGATATTTGTAATATACCGAAAAGAAGTTTTCCTATATCAATCTTCGGTAATACAGCCGTGCGTTTCTCAGTTTATCTTATATATAGACTTTATTTTAGCAACGCTTTAATATCGTAGCCGTTGGTTCCTAAAATATTTGACGTTGTAAATTAGGAACTTCGGATGGCGAATGCAAAATGAGCTTACACTTGGGATCTCTAAGCAATTTAATCTACCGGCAGCTGCGACCTCCGAGACGTTCTGTGTGTTTAGCTATAAGAACAATACTGCGAAACAAAGTCATCTCAAAATTCAATATATATGGAACGTGAGATTGCCGAGTTTTGACGATGAGCCACCGGAAATTTAAAATGGCCATAATGCGAGCTACGGAAGGGGTCGTTATACCGCCTGTTACCTTGCCTTCGCAAGGGATGGAAAAGGCGAGCGCGACTGTGAAGGACAGCGGGCACGTTCACGAGGGGGGATTATCGTAGGATTATCCCGCCGCCACCCCGGCCGGTCCGTTCTACCGCCCACTTCCGCTCGTACGTTATAATGAAATGTTTACAATCGATCCGTCTACCCTTTCGTTCCGATCCGCCGAAGCGTGAGTCCAGACACGACAGCGTTATCGAGCTGCCTGCTATGTCGTTATTATTGACGAGTTAACTATTAATGGCGTAGTAATAATGTTCTCTCGTGACAGAAAACAAGCAATTGAATTGTATCGCGGTTTTTTAATGACCTTTCATAAAAAGTTGTCACTTTAAAGTTGTATCAGTTTTCAATTATAATTGAAGGATTTTTATGCGAAATTTAAAAATTTGTACGACGGTCAAAGTCCGTCTTGTAAGTAGTGTATTAGACTTTATTATCCGAAATCGCAGAGTCTAAGAGGATTTGAAGGAAGAAGGAAGGGATACAAATAGTTGGGCTGCGTTGTATTCCACGAAATTGAAAATCTTTTTGTTCCCTCTTACTTTTAATTCTATAGCAGGATACTTGTGATTCGCGTTTTAAATATTTATAAAAAATTAGCAAAAGTAGGTACATACCTACACAAAATTTTATTTCCAAATGACTTACAAACACATTAAAAATAATTATAAGTAACAAACAAAATTGTCTAACTTAACTCTCAACTTCACGACTGTTTGTCAAAAGGAATTACCGTTGCAACAGTTTCGTTAGCTACTTGCAAATGAAATCGTGGAAGAAGTCCACGTCGAAAGTGGCTTGTCGCGAAATGATTTTGGCCCTATGAGGACCACAAGCGAGCGAGCAAGCAAGCAAGCATACGTCAAATTACCGAAAAGCAAGGCAACTCGCGTACATGCAAAATTCGTGCGTTCTGGAGCGAGGCAGAATAAGGACGAAACGAGGAGGAAGGGTTCGCGCACAGCTTCGTGTATCTCGCAATGTGTGCGCACATATATACGCAGCCATGTGTGCTCGTGTGCGTGTGTGTGCTCGTGTGAGAGAGGGTAGACGGACCTGCAGCAACCGTAAAAGAGAAACGGGCGCGGGGGAGGTCGGAGAGAGGTAACGCTGGAGGTTGGCTGCGGGGTAGTTTGGATACAGTAGCAAACAGGCAGATTGGATTCCAGACTCGATTTACTGGAATGCAGAAATAACAGCTGGCGAGCAGTCTCCTCGAGGCCGAGAACCGACTTTGCAGTCTCCACCACGTCCCTCCCCCTTCCTGCGACACGCAGACAGAATGGGGAGGTGGAAGAAGAACATGGACGCCGAAGTCGAGATGGACAGTTCCGCAGAGAAGGGGTGTTTATAGATTCGCAGAGTACAATACGGCCCAGCTACTCTCGCATCCCTTCCTTTTCCCGTCAAATCCCTTTAGTCCCTGCGACTTCGGATGATGAAGTTTAATACATTCGCAAGTCGGACCATGACCATCGTACGGATTTTCAGATGCAAAATGCAAAAACACGATTTGCGTGAAGGTGGAGAAGAGGCAGGAGGGAAGGAAGCAGGTTCCTTTCTGTTGTACGCTGATAACAGGCAAGCATTAATTCCTCTAATCGGACCCAACGCCGTGGAGATGCAGTGATTTTCAAGCCTGTGCGCGCGTATCTTTGGCCTCGCACCCCGTTGGTTCCTGCATTAGCATAACGGACCTGGTAGAGCTATTTTCCCAGACCTTTTTGCAGTAACGATAACCTAACGTGGTTCTTTCAACGTTGATCTTAACGACGCGGATCAACGAGGACGATTTGTCTCTCGTTTTCTTGCCGAGAGCTCGTTAATAGAGCCAGCTACTAACGGCAAGAATGTCGTCGTAGTGTTTAGTTTCAGTAAGATTTCACGTTTACATACATCGCGGGGTTTTGCTGTTGTTATTTATGCAGCAAAGTTTACCAATGTTAGCCATAGGGCGCACCGAGGTAGTGCGCCGTTAGTTGCACGGCTATCGATTTGTACGTCGGGTAGGCCATTGCCCTGCGAAATTGCCCGATTCGTTTAGCAAAGACACGTACTTTTAAATTCCGATAATCCGCTCCTCCTCGAGCGAATACAATCAAAATTGGGAAAAAAATTTTAATTGATGACATTTGAGGACGTTAAAGGCACACTAGTGTTGCCATCTAAGATAAAGTACCTTTCTGTGTCTCCTATGGAGTTCAGTTACTATTATTTTGACGGATAGAAAGGCGTGGTATCGATTCGTATATGAGTTCACCTTTTCTCCCTGATCGTGCGACGTATGGATGTGTAGTTCCTCAGCTACGAGTGTTATGGGTAAAACGCACCCCATGCCACGGAAACGCTTCCTCGCTATCGACGGGCAATATTTTTGCCTCTCCCTAACCGGATGGAGCCAACCACTCCATGTTAAATGAACCATTACGCTGGCAATGTTACGCAGTAGCTACGCTTCCTACGGAAGATCCGGACTTCCGCTGTTGAACAGTATTTAATTTTCCCGAATACAACTTTGTACATCGTCTACGCACGATTATATTATTCTGCTCTATGGATATGATAATAGTAATCCAACAAGAGAAGCTAAATTCAAGATTAAAGATAAACGATTTTAGTAAAAGCAAGCAAGAAAAATATGATAATTCTATTTATTTTTTCTATTTTTCTTTTTTATACGTGTATATATATATATTACATAAGAATTCTTTTATAACATAGATGAAAATCATGAATACTATGATGAACTGAACAGTGAAAATAATTCTTTTAGGGCACTATTTCGAAAATCTATAAGACAACATGCCTTTGGCAATATCTTTTTGAAACAAATGTTTCAACATAACATAAAATAAAACAGACTCGCGTGTTTTATAACCAAAAACTGCTTCTTTCGCAAGAAAATGTAGTGTTTAAATATCAATCGTAAAATAACGCTGCTGCGCGGCAATATTATATGCATCGACATTGCAAGAAAAGTGTCAATATATCGTAGGTATACAATGTGTTCTATAAACAAATATACAGCTGCACTGCATAATATTTTGAATATTTTGGATTACTTGTCTCTTTTTCTCACATGAATTTAATTGATTCTTTTGTGCTCTTCCTTTTTATTAATTTCATGCTTTGTTCATTTGATTCCGCTTTTGTTTATTAAACTTAAAATATATGATCTAAATTGACTGTTATTATGGCACTGAAAAAGGTGTTTTTATAAATAAATTTGTTTACCTCGCATTTATTATTACTTAATATTTTTTTCTTTAGAAATAAAGCGAAAATATGAATTTTGTGCTTGCTAATATTTGTGAATCTCATTTAGTTATGATTTGCATGATTACACGAAATTCGTCATGCCTTCACGCGGAATGTTATGGTGTCAGTCATATGTATAATCCCCCTCTGTGCGTACAGGGATTAGCATGGTGCAGTAATGCCGACGTTCCGATGGATTTTAGCATTAGGTGGGTTGGGTTAGTCGTAACCAGATTTGCAAGTTAATAATGAATTATTGTACCGTGAATTTCGGGTCAGCCAGCAATAGAATTGCGTCCGACTATCCGCCGGCGGCTATGTTACTACTCGGACGTGCGCTCTGGGACTAATAAAAACGGCTCATTCAAATTTACATTGAGGTAAATATTATTTATGAAATGGTTGCATTAAATAGCTGCATTAAATAGCTGTTCCTCCACTCTCTTCATACATTACAGATATAGATTTGGTTGCATATATCTTTAACACAGCTTCATTTCACATTAATCTAATCTGGTATCTATTTAGTGCACACGAGTTAGATCATTTGTGTCCCAGGCATTGTTTTTCTTTGAAATACTAGGAGCAAGATAATGTCAAGTGACATCTTAAGCCTCTATTCAGTAACTCTTAACGACAAAGTCGGTGTCTTTATATTATCGTTGCGCAGTTTTTTTACTATATATATATATATAAAATCTGTTTTATATATGCAACGACAAGTACGATATCGTTACTGTCGTTAAGAGTTACAGAATAAAGGTTTTAATAACGTCTTAACGATGTCTTTAACGTCAACAAGATGTTATTAAAATATTATGAAAATTAACCTGAAATACGAACAACTCATCGTGTATAGTAAAGGAAAATTATCATGTATATTAGGAGGTTAATTTAAAATCAGCTGTTATATATATTCAGAGCTATAGCAGTTATATGCACGCATTCGATCGCATTCAAAGTTATGAGATAAGTTTGTTTCAGCAGAGGTTTAACGTGATGATTACTTACCAGCAAAGTACGCCAGCATCGCCGTCAGCGCCACAGCCAGGAGGATCAGAGCGATCGAGAAGCATTTCCAAGAGCACCTGTGCTGACAACGTTTGTCGATGTGAAAGCGCGATGGTGAATACGGGGAATAGTGCGGCACCGCTGCGGCACGAAGAGGAAAACCTGGCATCACCATGGCTTGGCCTTGCGCGCCTACCGTGGCAGTACCGCCATTTCCGGCACCGCCTAAACCGCCGCCCAGAGAACCCACCGTCACCTGCTGTTGCGGTGGCGGAAGCCTAAAACAACAAGAAATAACCCGTATTAGGGTACCGCCTATAGAGAGTTGCGAAAGTCATTAAACCGCATGATTATGCATCGTACATACGTATGTATATTAAATCACGCAAGATTACATTTAACGTATCTACACTGAAAGAAAAGATTGGCTGCTGCAGCCAATTAAAAATGCTATGTCATATTTTACCATCTAATTTGCTACAGCAGTTACTCTTTTCTTTCAGTGTACTACAGTAATACGGAAAGAACGATTTTGTTGAAGTAGGTATCTATACAAATTTAGCTAGATACAGATCTGAAAATAATGTTTAACCTATCAAAATAATTATGTACAACACTCAAACTGGTTGTTAAAATGTTGAAACTTCTTGCTCCATCGTCATTAACGCTTAAGTACATACTTATACATAAATTTTTGATGATTCAATAAAATTATTTTTAGATCTAGCTAAATTTTAAGATAGATATTAGATTTTAGCAAAACCGTTCTTTCCGTAAACGAATCATTTAGACTCAAAGTGAAAATTTAACGGTTAGTACAGTCTGTGAAGTTTTAACCATAATTGGTGTTTATATATCCAGTAGACCTGAAATAAGATACTTTAAGTGTTTTTTACATAATTGTAATTAAGAAGTAAATTAAGACGCTCAGGTTACTTCGATGATTCGATCGTCGCGATTAATAACTGTAAACCGATTAATTGGCTATGGTGACAAATTGTCCGTGCGATTGCGAATCAGAACGGAGTCAACGTCGATCAGTATCTCACATGTGTCTCGCTTACTGCTGATTATTAGTTAAATTCATGCCGATACTCATCGGCGTATCGGTGCGTCGAGGTAATAAATGGGAGAGTTGACTGCAACATACTCCAAAGCGGGTCGCTTGATCCGACGTCACTCCGAGGGCGATACGCACCGGCGATAAATCGACGACCGGTATCTGTTTGGTGCACGTGTGCCAAGCGGAGGTGGCGATCGCGTCGTGGTACGTACATAGACCGGAGAGCATCGGTGGTGCACGTCCGGGGATGCAGATAACGCCGAGCTTATAAAAGATGCAGATGCCACCATTAAGCCCTACATGGCAGGCTGCGTGTGCGTGAGTATATTGCCCGCACGAGACGCACGAAACCCATGGGCTTTCCGAAAATGACATTCGCGGGGGTGACGAGGTCGAGGCCCTACCCGTCGAACCCGTGTCAAGGATTTTATTTTCATCATCGACGATATTTATCTTCGTCCCCTCAACGAGAGGCCCAGGATAAGCGTGGCCATAGCCGACATCGGATGAAAGGCCAACATCGAAACAGGGATTTAATATGGTGCCCAGGATAAATATAGTTTTCCGATAATCATGCGGACTCATGAATAGCATTATGCGCGCGTCGTGGCTGAAATCCCGTAAGAATAACTCGATTGACAGTACGTCTCTGGTAGGGATGAGAGATAAGGGGGAAGGGCAAAAGGGGAGTACTGAAGCGACCAGAAAAAGGAAACAAGCGGGAACTTAACAATGCTGCGCGGCACCAATATTGGATTTTCCGCTTAAAAATTCACGTAGTATAAAGCCTGAACACGAGGCGCGGCTGCTCGAATCGAATACTTACGAAAAATCTCTTCCGAGTTGGTTTTACGTCGGGTTCGACGGGAAAGCAGTCAGAACGTTGGATTTAATCCGGAACTTATCGCCTTAAGGTAACGTTTCACTTTCACGGGATGTAAGTGATTTAAAGTGGTTTAAAAAAAGATATTTCCTCGAAGTAAAACTCATACACGATATATCGTTCGTGGAACATATTTTGCACTTTTCTAAAAAATATTGAAACAGTCGAATAATCTTCATTTATTCAGAAGAATTAATTCGGTCGAATCGTCCAATAGTTTTCTCTTTTTTCATAATTCCACAAATATCAACATTTTGAAAATAATCTTTCAGTTGTAATAAATTTTTTTTTTCAAGACGTATTTATTAGGCGTTTAAAAAAGTTCGTGGAATTACCGTTAAATGTTACTAGAATTTAATGTAAAACTTTTTAATTATATATCGTATCATAATATTGAATGCCCTGCATTATAATATAAACTATATTCCTTGGCTATTAAATTGTTTGATGCCTAATAAAGTACATTCACGATGCTCGTTTATTTATAACAAGAAGCAGAACAACGTTGAAGCCATAAAAGTTTAATGTAAAACTTAGGACGAATCTGTTGTTGCTAAAAGTTTATGCCATAAGTGGTTTCAATAATTTAAGACGGCCTATTCTAACGGTATTAAATTTAATAAAAATCGAAAGCGTCTATTAAATATTAAATTTGATAACCAAGGAATAAAGATGATATAATAATGCAGAGCAACATTATACAATAATATATAATTAAAGAAGTTAATAGTAAATTCTAGTAACATCTAACGATGACTTCACAAACTTTTACAAATACCTAACAATAATTCAAATGTTATTTCAGTTTGGAATATTTTTCATCCCTTTAAATCCAGAAAGATTTGTCAAAAAATGGTAGATGTCAAGAAAGAAAATTCTAAAGATAAACCGAGACAGACATCTTGCAAAGTTCACAGAAATGATCGTCTCCATCTCTCGTGAAGGAATCGTTGAAATGTGTCGTGTACCGCGTGTAATTTATAAGTTGCTTAACAAACCCAGTCCGACAAATACCATAAATAATCACGCTTAGATCCTGACGCTTTGCAATCCTATAAATGTCCGCTCATATTTTCTGAAGCAGGAAGCAATCAGACACGACGTGAAAAAAATATCACTGGCAAAAGTCCCGGGCGTTCTTACGCGGCGACGTAGAAAAAAAAAGACGATACGCGAGAGAAGGAATCCCGCGTAATAAATATTACTTTTTCCTCGGTATCATTAACTTAGAAACGGAGCAAGCACCGTAAAATTAATTTACTAAAAGTATCGGCGTGCTCAACGTCCGACAAAAATTGGGGAGGAAAAAACTTAATGGCAAAATAATGGGAATTTTTTTCTAAGCTGGACTATAGCCAAAGATAGTCTTACTTCATTTCTCCGAATTATCCGCGCACGGCAGTGGACATGCTTCAAACATAATTCAATTGCAGAGAAGTATGATTTAATAAAAATATACAATTTTTTGAACGCACGCTGATTGTTTCTAATTTGTGCATAACTTTTTATCTACGGTACACAATCATCTAATTAATTTAAAGATAAATTTTCCGAAAACGTCAGCAAAATCGATGGTTTAATGCAAAATGGTTTTATCTAATAAACGTTTCTGTATTTCTGTATTATTAATATTAATAATATTTGCTTTGACGCTCTTGTTATTACTATTATTAATTATTATTGATTAAATTAGTTTAACAGAATTATTTTCTCCGTTTTACGCATTAATTAACTCTTATGATTAATTTATAACGGTTCGCGATTACCTCCGTATTCCGCTAGACTTTCCGAATTGAAGCCCCAGAAGTTTTTTCTGGGAAATAAATAAATCTAACTCCCTGGCTGGGCTCTAAGAGCCTCCGGACAGATGTACGGGCGCTCCGGTCGGGACAACCGGATTCTTGATTGCACGTAACAGACAAATGAAGCGAGGGGAGTGGCTGAAAACAAGATAAACGACGAAAAAGGAGAGATAGCAAAGCCGGGGATGCACTGCGGAAGAACGGAGTAAGCAGCAATTCGGCGTGTTCACGCCGTAGCCCCTCCAAGCCGGGTTAATCCATTTGTGCGAGTAAATCGGTTAGCTGGAATTGGGTTATATTTCCTAATCGATACGATGGATTAAGTTACCGGTTGGTTCGTCCTCTGGCTCGTCGGTCACGATGCACGGCTCTTTCTTCGCTAATTATCGTTAGTAGCGCTGAAGGGAACGTGAGAGAAATATAAGTTTCTGCCGCGAAGCTTCGGTTAAAGATTACAGTGCTATCGTAGTTGTATCAAATATCATAGTTGAATACAAATGGCATTTTTAATTATAAATAAGTACCGCTATTGACGGTATGTATGTTTTTTTTAATTTAATATTTAGTTTTGTGAGAATTTACAAAAGTGTACGAGATTACCGGGATTGCTATAGGGAATGAGAAATTGCAAATTTCGAAATCCTCTTGCCTTTGATTCGAACGGTTTACGATTTTTCTTGTGACAGCTTAATCTAACTCAGGGACGTAAGCGTAAAGCTAAAGCGAGAAGTTGCCGCGGCACGACTTTCGGGAAGGAAGTTCGAAAACGTGCGGATGCTCCTTTAACCAATGTAAAAGTAGGTCGAGGAGCGCCGAGTTTGATCGTCAGCAACCTGGGCGGATTACGCAGTCCCGCTGTGAAGTTAGGATGTTCCTGATCTAAGTTAAGTCGTAGTCCGGTCACGAAAGGACCCACCGTCGCTTTAAGCAGGTAGTTTCTCCAACCGGGCGACAACGATGGTGGTGGACGTGGATTGTATGAACGTGTACAAAACACCTCCACCGATTAAACCAATTGGACGCCTGTCTGATATATTGGAAGTTAAAGAGGTAATTGCGAGCGGCGTTGCTGCCACATATTGAGTTGAGTGTCGTCTGAGTGGAAGATTGGACTGTTTCAGCTGCGCGGGCTGAGGATAGAATCGAGCGTGTGATCCAATTATGATGTAACGCATGTTCCATCGCAGGAACGATTGGCAGCGACGAGTGCCGTGCAGTTCCTGCACCATTTCAAGCTTCGAAAGCTTCCCCGCGTCGTGAGTTCTTATTGATTTAACGGATGACAGGATGGCCTTTGAAAGAAGTGGAAAACACGTGTCAAGATCGATGATATTAAATACTAAACAACATGAAATCATTTCATTCCTACTCTTTTTTCATTCTTGAGTAACTTAATAAAGTACAACATATATTGATTATAATTATTTATTTTTAATTTTATTCAAATTATTTTATTTTTTTAGCTGTTTGAAATACTATATTTCCATTTCTTTCGGATATTAATCTTTAAGTAGATGGAGTTGCCACAGC